GGAACAATTTTGCAAATAAACAAATTAGTATATATAAATGTGAACAGATTCTCCCAAGTTCTGTTAGTTTTAATGAATTGTTGGATTTTTCATTCTTTGGTAAACTTTTCAAGGCCTACACAAACTAGTGCTGCTTGGTGTTTATTATTTTGCTTCTTTTCTAATTCCAAGTCAATGGGAGAGACTGTGTGACTTTCTTTGGTAAACTGATTCTTAGTGTCTTATTCCTTTATGCTCATAAGATGCAAAGAAATGCCCTTAATAGATATCTACCTGCTGCCTTCGTTGGTAAGAATGTTATTCTAAAGTCTGAGTTTCCAGGATAAACTTTTTTAAGTTTATTTTTTATTGCTGACATTATTAAAGATGCTTCCTATTCTTCCCCCTCCCCCCCACTTTTCCCCTGCATCCAGCTCCCGCCCCATTCCAGGCCTTCACCACTCTATTGTCTACATATATGTATACAAGTTCTTTGGTTAATCTCTCCCCATCCCCCACAACCCTCTCCCTCTGAGAATTGTCAGTCTGTTCCATCCATCCTTGCCTCTAGATCTATTTTGTTCATCACTTTATTTTGTTCATTAGATTCCACATGTAAGTGAGATCATGTGATATTTTTCTTTCTCTGACTGACTTATTTCACTTAGCATAATGGTCTCCAGGTCATCCATGCTGCAGAAAAGGGTAAGAGATCCTTCTTTTATACAGCCACATAGTATTGTGTAAATGTACCATGAATTTTTTAATCCACTCATCTACTGATGGGCATTTGTTTGTTTCCAGATCTTAGCTATTATAAACAATGCTGCTATGAACATATGAGTGCACATTTCCTTTCTGATTGGTGTTTCAGGGTTCTTAGGATGTATTTCTACAAGTAGGATCACTTAGTCAAGCTTCAGTGCCATTTTTATTTTTTTGAGGAGACTCCATACTGTTTTCTATAGTGGCTGCAGCCATCTGCATTCCCACCAGCAGTGTACTAGAATTTCCTTTTCTCCACAAACTCATTAGCACTTGTCTTTTGTTGATTTATGAATGGTAGCCATTCTGACAGGTGTGAGGTGATACCTCATTATAATTTTAATTCGCATTGCTGTGATGATTGGCATAGGTAAATTTCTGGGATCTCTTTGTTCCATTGATCTATATGGCTGTTCTTGTGCTAGTACCAGACTCTTGATTACAGTGGCTTTGTAGTACAGTTTTATATCCAGTATCATGTTCCCTCCAACTTTCTCAAGATTGCTACAGCTATTTGGGTCCTTTTTGAATTCTATATACAATTTTGAAATATTTGCTTTAGATCTGTGAAATATGCTGATGATATTTTAATAGTAATTGCATTGAATCTATGGATTGCTTTGGATAGTATGGGCATTTTAATTACGTTGATTCTTCCACTCTATAAACATGGTACATGCTTCTACTTGTTTGTATCTTCCTCCATTTCTTTTTTCAATGTCAATAGTCTTCTGAGTACTGGTCTTTACCTCCTTGGTTAAGTTTATTCCTAGGTATCTTATTTTTGTTGTTGTTGTTGTCTTTGCAATATTAAATTGGATTTTTTTTTAGATTCCTCTTTATGAAAGTTCATTATTGTGTATAACAATGCCATCAATTTCTGTGTGTCAATTTTGTATCATGTTACTTTGCCAAATTCATATATTAAATCTAGTAATTTTTGTTTGAGTCTTTAGGGTTTCCTATGTACAATATTATGTCATCTGCGAATTATGAGTTTTCTTCCTTCTTTCCAATTTGGATGACTCTTATTTTTTCTTGTCTGATTGTTGTGGATAGAATTTCCAGTACAAACATTGAATAAAAGTGGTGAAAGCAGACATCCCTGCCTTGATCCTGTTCTTAAGACAAATGCTGTTAGTTTTTACTCATTTAGTATATTGTTGATTGTAGGTTTGTCATATGTGGCTTTTATTATGTTAAGGTATGATTCTCTTATTCCCACTTTGCTGAGAGTATTTGTAAAAAATGGGTGCTGGAGACCAGCCAGTGTGGCCCATGGTTGAGAGTCAATCCAGAAACTAGGAGGTCATGGTTCAATTCCTGGTGAAGACACATGACTGAGTTGTGAGCTTGAAGCCCAGTAGGAGGTGTGTATGAGGCAGCTGATCAATGATTCTCTTATCATTGATGTTTCTATCTCTTCCTCTACCTTCCTTTCTCTGAAATCAATAAAAAATATATTTTTTAAATGGGTGCTGAATTTTGTCAAATGCTTTTTCTGCATCTATTGGTATGATCATGTGAGTTTTATCCTTCATTTTATATGATGTATCACATTTGTTGATTTGAAATTATTGTACTAGCCTTGAATCTCTGGAATAAATCCCACTTGGTCATGGTGTATGATTTTTTTTTAATGTATTGCTGGATCATATTTGATAGTATTTTTCTGGGAGTTTTATTATTATTATTATTACCTTTACAATTTCATTAGTTTCAATCAGCCTTTATGTGTCTATTTCACTCAGGTTGTCCATTCTATTTGCATATAATTTTTCCTACCATTTTCTTACAATCCTTTGTATTTCTGTGGTGTCAGTTGTTACTTTGTCTCTTTCATTTCTGATTTTATATATGTGGGTCCTCTCTCTTTGCTTCTTAAAAGTTCATCAGTCTTGCTTATCTTTTCAAAGAACAAGCTCTTGGTTTCAATGATCTTTTGTATTGTCCTTTTAGTCTTTTGTCATTTATTTCCACTCTGATTTTTATTATTTTCTCCCTTCTGATTTAGGTTTTGCTTGTTGTTCTCTTTCAAATTATTTTAATAGTTGGGTTAGATCCTTTATTTCAGCTTTTTCTTGTGTCTTGAGATAGGCCTGTAATGCTGTGAACTTCCCTCTCAGGACTACTTATGTTGTAACCCTTAGATTTGTGGTTGTGTGTTCATTTTCGATTGTTCTCAGGTAGTTTTTTTTATTTCTTCCTTGTTCTCATTGTAATCATTAGTTTAAATCCATTGTTTAATAACATCCTATTTACCTTCCATGAGTTTGAATATTTTTGAGGTTTTTTTGTTGTAGTTTATTTCTAGTTTTATGTCACTGTGATCCGAGAAGATGCTTGATATGCTTTCAATCTTTTTGAACTTGCAGACTTATTTTGTATCCTAACATGTGGTCTATCTTTCAGAATGTCCCACTTAAGAAGAATATGTATTCTCTAGATTTGTAGTGAAATGTTCTGTAAATATCAATTAAATCCATCTGCTTTACTGTGTCATTTAATGTTCAAGGTGAATGTGAATTTTCAAATAAGAGGAAGTGTATTGAGACCTTACTGTTTGCAAGGAAGAGACCCACCCCTGCACTCTTGAATAATAAGCTTATTCATAAGCAGAAACAGTGTCTCAGAGGCTTGTTAGTATACCCAGTAATTCTGTTGCCCTTGTTCTCTGCTCCTTTCTCTAATCTCCAGGCAATGACTCTGATTGGGTCAGTGACTTGGTTACCAATGACTATAGAGCGTTCCTTGCTGGAATGAAATCAATATTGAGTCCTATTTGTTTTAGCCAAAATAAAACAGTTGTTTTGGATCAGTACATATGACTTATAAACTACGGCAGGGAGAACTTTCTAAAGTTCTTTGGAAGCAAAGCCAGCCTTTGGGAAAGTACAAGTACTTGAGCTTCTTGAACCTGACCAGTAAGGGAATAAAAGATATTTCTGTCTATAAATATGATGGAGAAGAAGAACTAAATTACAGATAAGCTCAAATTAAATTAGTTTGAAAATAAAGGAGAGGTAAGTGCTCTGCTTTTAATAAAAGACCTGTAATACTGTTGGGTAGTTTTAAGGCAAATCAATTAACATTATCTACTTTAGTTTGCTTATCTTCAATAAATATGATATAAAATTGTTCTTGCTCAATAATTATGTTAAATGAGGGGAATAATGTATGTTAAATGACCATAATGTGACCCTGGCCAGTGTGGCTTATTTGGTTGAGCATGGTCCCATGCTCAAAGAGGTCAAAGATTCCATTCCTGGTCAGAGCGCATGCTCAGGTTAAGGACTCAATCCTCAATAGTAGGCTGCAGAAGGCAGCCAATCGATATTTCTCTCTCTCTTTCTCTCTCTCTCCCTCCCTCCCTGTTTCTCTCTCTCTCTCTCTCTCTCTCTCTCTCTCTCTCTCTCTCTCTCTCTCTCTCATCAATAGAAACCTTTAAAAAAATGACCAACCAACCTGTGTAGGGACAGCAGGTAAGGTAACTGTTGTGATTATTAATATTACTCTTGTCTGCTCAGACAATAAGGAGGGGCTTTATAATGAATATGTAAGAATCTATAAATCCTTCCTCACTGTACAATGGTTAAGATCATGGGTTCTGTGGGATTAAGACTACTTCCTAGCTATGAGATTTTAGACAAGTTATTTAATCTAATGTGACTCAATTATCTCTACTGTAAAATTAGATGATTACTTTCTATCACAAAGAGCTCCTGTGGGGATTAAATGAAATAAACTAAGTTCTGCTTTGAACAATGCCTGGCATATAATGAACACTTAATACAAATTCTCTGTTAAGCTATTAATCTTTATTTCATGAATCCTAAAACTAGGCTCATGATTTGCCGTGTTAGTAGGTGACATAGGGGTTGCTAAAAGACCTTCTTTTCCTTCTTTTCTCCTTATTTCCTTTCCTCCCTTTTTTCCTCATATATCTGTTTATTGGATTGGATTGAGATACAGTAGTTCCTACCTAGTTGATTGGGATTTAGGACATCTAACTTCTTTTCATTTTATTTTACCTACTTTTGCCAGGGCACCAATAAGTTCTCGCATATCTTGCTTCCACTGTAACAAAATTATATTATATTTTTGTCTTTTGCCACTAACCTACAACTATTAGCTGTCATGTCCAATGTCCCAAGTTTCTTATTCAAATCTTCAAACTTGAGAAATCAATAAGGTCAAGGAAATAAGAACCAGTGTTTACATAAGTGTTTACTGGACTTTTCTTTATCATCTTTCAGGTCTTGTAGAAATTTGCCTGATGCACCCCCTCGATGTGGTGAAAACCAGGTAAGGTTCTGCATGAACAAGTTTTATTGACTTTGGCTGATATCCAAATGAAGGTCTGTCAGAACACTAAATGCTAGAACTTGTCCCAGGCCGGTAGCTTCTCCCAATAATGGCATTTGTATTTACTTCTTAAAGAAAATACTATTTGACGGATAAAATGTGAACAGTGAAAAGCATTTCTGGATTGAGGTCATCTGAAGGTATATAATATTTTACTGCCTTCACATGACAACCATAAGGCATGATTTGTGGCTAAACTGGATGAGGTAAATATATCAAAATGATGTAAAAACTGAACTTTAGTGAATTATTATAGCAGACTTTCATTTGGCATTGTATATAACAGATTACTATTTAATAGTCAGCATTTTGGTGTGAGACTCCAAAATTTCAACTAAACTTCTTAAATGGTGCTTAAGGAATTTATTCCTATAACTGTTTCCCAATGCAAAGTGCCATGTTTCCAGGAAAAATGCATTTACTCTTAAAGGTATATACAAATAAAAGCAGTATATTAAATCTACTTACCAAGAGGAGAAAATTGTATGGGTTTTAATATGATAGAAAGCATTTTAAAAATACAATCCTTCCAGGTGCACTAAGGGAAGAGGGAACTGATATTGTATGGTATTTGACCTGCATAATAATAAAAATTATACTGAATAAAAACCCACAATTATATAGTAAACTGAAAGCCCAAAATATATGCAACTGATTTTGCAATAGAAATAGAATATGCAAGAGAGGTAGCATTTATCACTGGGCATTAACACACAGGTGATAAGGAGTAGACAGAACAGAGTAAATAATGCTAAAATATTTTCAATATTATATAGGAGATAACTACATTTCTAAATAAGATAAATTGTAAACTACAAGAGGTAATATCTGAAACCATGTAGCATTAGTTATTTGAGCAGGTCACTTTCCTAAATGGCATCCAAGAGCACTGGGATCCAAATTATTTCAAGGATTATCCAAGTGGGGCATAGTATACATCAGGCCAGACCTCACTTGCTTTACAGGTTTTTTATAAGCTGCTTTGCCTCTTCTGAGATATGTTTACTTGAAGGGTGGTTTACTTAATCAACCTGAGTATAGAAATAGCTCATTTTCCACAGTATCTCAAAATAAATGTCTTTATTTCTTGAAGTCTAGTATTTTCTTTTGAGATCCTATTTATTTGCTGAATGAAAGATAACAGATTCTAAAAAATGTATTTTCAAATTCTTTATTCACAGAGATTTTTCCTCATTATTTTTTTCCTTTGTAAATGATTAATTCTGTTAACCCAGGTGGAGGAATAAAGGGAGGTGGTGGTGTAACCAGAGGCTAGTAGAAGCTAAAACCATAGCAAATTTGGTCTAGTCATAGCTGGAGGATCAGAGGAGTACCAGCCACTGCCTAAAATTCACTGCCTGGGGCAGACAAGGAGGATGAGAAATACTCTGGTTTCTTCTATTCCACACTCTGTAACCTACCATCAGTGCTTCTTTATCTGAACACGTGGAAGCCTGGGAAACCAGCCTCACAGAGGGCAGTCCCTCTGCAAAATAGAGCAGAGCAAAACAAGAGAGGAGTGAGAAACGGGCCTGAAGACAAACAGAACCAGGGCTGACATCCTATCATTTTAGTGAGCTTTGGAGAAAAAGCTGACATAATCATGCTTTTTTAAAATACAGATATGATTGACATGTAGTGTTATATCAGTTTCAAGTGTACAAATTAGTAATTCCATACGTGTATACATTGTGAAATATCACAGTAAGTTTAGTTAACATCCATCACCACACATAGTTACAATTTTTTTAGTATGTGATGAGAACTTTTAAGATCTACTCTCTTAGCATCTTTCAAATATACAGTATAGTATTATTAACTATAGTTACCATGCTCCATATATCCCCAGAACTTATTTATTTTATAACTAAAAATGTGTTTTTCTTGACCACCTTCACCCATTTGGCCATCCCCCACCCACAGGCTCTGGTAACCATCAGTCTATTCTCTTTGTCTATAAGCTTGGGTGTTTGTTTGTTTGTGTTTTTGAGCCCACTTATAAGCGAGATCACATAGTGCTTATTTTTTAAAAAATCTTTATTGAAATTATTGGGGTATTACTGGTTAATACAATTATATAGATCACAGGTGGACAATTCTCTAATACAGCCTCTACACTATTGTATTGTGTGTTTACCCCCCCCCCCAAGTCAAGTCTCCTTTTTATTTATTCCCCTTTGCTCTCTTTGACCACCCTGCCCTCTGATAACCACCGTACTTTCGTCTGTTTCTATGAGCTTGTGGGGTTTGTGTGTGTGTATTTTCTTAATATCTTCGCCATTTCTCCTGTCTTTGTCTGACTTATTTCCCTAGGCATAATGCCCTCAAGGCCCATTCATCTTCCATGTTGTCACAAATGGCAAGATTTCCTTGTTTTTTATGGATTAATGATATTCCATTATACTTATATGTGTGCATGTGTGTGTCACATTTTCCTTTTCATTCATTTAGATTGCAAGCAAGCATTTTCAATTCATCATGCTTAACAGGAACTTGCTTAGCACTTTAAGAGATAGTTAGATGTTGTAATCAATAAATCTTTTATGGAGAGATTTTAGGCAATGTGGCCCTTGGCTTTCTGTAGGAAATAGCTTTCCTGATCCGTGTAAGTGTAGCTCCTGGAATAGACCTAATGTAAGCATCGGCTAGCCATATGAAAGTTGCCTTGTCCTAAGTGTCCCCTCCAGATTTTAGCAGAGGAGATTTGGCTACAATGCTGTACACATGGCAGTTAGGTAGACTTAGTCTCCTCTGAGGTTCCCCCCTGAGACATGCATATATACTGTTTTATAGTCCTGTTCGTATACAGAGAACTTTGTGTACAATTGTGGGAGGACCCTGTCAACTGATGGTCATTGGTGCCAATTCCATGCCAACTGAAATCCCCAGTTTGGGGTGATACAACACAGCTGTGAGCACTGCCCAGCTGTGAGGCAGCCCTGGGGCCAAGCCCCTCTGTGGCTAGGCCTCACTGGCCTGCTCAGTTCTGTGCCAGTTGACTCTGCTCTGGAGTTTCAGGTCAGTTAGGGAAACTGAGTCTTTGGGGAAGGGAAAGTGCACTTCAGTGACAGAGGGGAGCTGACTTATATTGAGAGAAGTCCCCACCCCTAATCCTTGATTGGTCCATCCTCATTCAAATGAAGACTCCAAATCCTCACTGTTTGATTGGCCTAACAAGCCCTGTCCTGAGTGGTCAGAATGGAGCCACTCTGGTGAGTAAAGATGTTGATGGGGATGTAGCTGTGTTAGGAGGAAAACCTCAGTCTTATTTGTTAAAATAGGACTCCAGGAACTCATTTTTAAGGCCTGGCTCAGGTGGCAGAAACAGTGCAGGCAGGCAGCTCAGAGCAGAGGCAGGTAGATCAGTGCAGGCTTCTCCCTGACATGCAGAGTGCAGGAGAGGCCCCTGTGCAGAAATGGCGGCTAGGCTCTATTTTGTTTTACTTTTTTTTGAGTCCAGTTAGCCACCAGAAGCACTTTTTAGTAGGTATCTTCTTTCTCAGGGTCCACAACCCTCTGGTTAAGAACCAACAGCTACAAATGATAAAAGACCCTATTTACATGATATAATTGGGAAGACCAAAGGTAGCTTCTGGCTTTGTATTCTCCGAGAATTTAAACAAAATAATCAGTAATATCTCATATCGCCTCTCATTCTCTCAGCTGCTCACTCTTGCTCCCTTCCTCCCTCCCCCTGTCCTCTCAGCTTTTCTTTTCCTCTGCAAGCTTCATTTTAGGTGAGCTTCTCTCCCTTGGCACCAGTAGCTTACATGGTCCTTGGTGTTCTTTGTGCTCTCTCTTGAGGATAAGCTAATAGTTATGTATTCTAGAAGGAATCCATCCAACCAGAAAATGTTAGAGTTAGGCTGTCTGGGTTCAAATCTTGCTTCATTATTTATCTATATAACCTCAGGCAAGTTACTTAACTTCCTTGTGCCTTAGTTTCCTGATCTTTAAATGAGAACAACAATGGTATCTACGTTATTGTGAGAAATAAATAAATAAATATCATATATAAATATATATATATATATATATATATATATATATATATATATGTCATGTTTAATACTGTTTCAGCAAAGGAAAAGGAAGACAAATGGAGTTTATAAGGTAGTCAAGGAAACACAAGGGAGAATATAAAGTGTGGGAGAGGGGAAATGCTTAATATTGGGTCATTCAGTTTCAAGTTTCTAAGCTGGAAGACTTATGTTATGTGAGCACTGCATTTAATTCCTTCCTGAGAAGGGTATTTGCAAGTAGAGAGTCCTTCTGGGTCTGAGGGCAAAAGAGCATTAGTTTAGTCTATGTGTTCCTGTTGACGTCACCCCATGCTTTATTTTAGGGCTATGTGCTGACATTATTAGGTAACCCCTGTGGCTAGCACAGTGCCTGGCCTCCTGGAGGTACCCAGTAAATGCTGTTGAATAAATGAGTATTTGATAACAGTCAGAAGTAATCGTCCTATGAATTTTATGGCCAAACTGGAATGTCTAGAAAGTGAATAATAATCAGCTTTGCTGTTTTCATTAAAAAAAAAAAAAAAAAGTGAGGTTTCATGAAAGAGGTGAGAAGTAAGAATCCATTGACATAGAAAGGGAAAAATTCATTGATAGAATGGAGGGCAAAAGCATCTTAAGCCGTGGTGGAGTCTCAGGGACTGAGTGGGAAAGAGTGAGGGGGAGGGTTTCCACTGGGGTTGCCAAGATAAGAGGTGGGTGGACTGAGCTGGCAGCAGGGATTGGAGCTGCTGAGGGAACATGTGACAAGCTTTAAGATGGACCTTCATATGGGACCACTCCAGCTAAGTGAAATAAAATGAATGACACCTATATAATGTTAAGTTTTTTAAGAGCCACATTTTAAAAAGTAAAAGGAAACAGGTAAAATTAATTTTAACGATATATCTTATTTAACCTCATTACCCAAAACATTGTTGT